CCAATTATTTTGATGACTAATGGAGTTGTTTGTTTGATCGTTGAACTAATTGTTTTTAGTGAGTTTTGTTGTAGATGAAGTTTTTTGACTCCAGCAGCTCAGTCGTGATTATGTTCTGCAGTGTCTTTGCTCCTGTAGACAGAACATTTGCATGTTGTTATAAAGAACATGAGTAGGTAAATTACTAAAAAAAAAAAAACTCCAGAAGGAAGAGTGTAGTAGACAAGTTGATTTAATTTATAATGGCTATTTTAACAGATAAAACTTAAATTACTATGAAATTAAATGTTGTTGTTTTTTTTTTTTTTTAAAAAAAAGAAAACCGTACACATAAAGCAGTACATTTAGTTCCCAGAACGTTTCTTTTTAGAAATGACATTAGAAAAACAGGGTTAAAAAAATAAAATCACAGTTTACTACCATTTATGCCCCAAACACAATTGATTCATTAAAATAATCAGATGACCAATCCCAATTAAAATTATTTTTGCTTGCAGTTCCACTGCTTGTTTGGTTTATTTCACAACATCATTCCCATTTTTTTTCCCACCTTGTCATTTCGGTGCTGACCCTGTTGTTTCTGACACTAACTTCAGGTCCCCTGTGGTAGGAGTTAATATACACAAACTATTACAGCACATATAAAGGCTGCTTTGTTCCGCCCGCGGGCCCTTATTGCACCGTGTTCAACTTTCACTTTACTGTAATTGTCTTCAATTATCTTGACAGTTTTGATTAAAAAAATCCTCAGTGCTACATTCCGTAGTCTGGGATATTCTGTTGATTATGCGCTGCATTAGTCTGAAGCAGAAGATGATGATGATGAAGGAGGAGGAGGAGGAGGGGGGGGGGTGAGGGCCCGGGGGGGGTCACTTGACCTTAAAAAAAACCCTCTGTTTGGAAAATTATACATTCACAGAAATGTAAATTATTTATTTTATATTTTATTGGCAATATATATAATGTTGGTGCCGCCTGTGGCGCTGGTCTCTTTATTAGGGTAAGTGACTGCACTCAGTGTCGGCCTGGAAATAAAATGACAGGCTGCTGATATTGAATAGGTTCATCACTTGGATCACACTGACATTTGTTAAATCCAAAGAAGAACCTGCTGTTACATAATAACCTGCATGGAAAAGAGCGTGTGTGCGTGTGTGTGTGTGTGTGTGTGTGTGTGTCCATGGCTCTATTTAGCATGCAGTGCGCACTTGAAGCATACATTTCATTTGAATTTCAAATTTAATAACGCGGGAGGTTTTTAATCATCCGCGCTTTTTTTTTTTTTTATTTGTTTGATATTAACATGCTTATTGACCGGCTCTGTTGACCAGCTTGGTCATTACAGGACAAGGAAAAGTTAATTAAAACGACCAGGGATTATTCATCACATCATCTGCCTAACCCATGTCGCTTCCTTTATTACACAGCGTGATCGATGGACTATCTGATTAATCCCTGTGTTTCTAGGATTGGACAACAGCTTTTTGGATTAATTTACACCGGGTTTAACTGGGGAAAAATGTAACAGGGGACGAAAACGGTGGCCAAAAGTGCTGCACATGTTGTGCAAACACACGCCAAATAATGCACTGCAAATATGTAGATTTACTTTATATATATTTAATGATTAACTTTTAGATTTACACAGACGACACAATGATCAATTAAAACGTAAATTTAAAAAAATCATGTTTTTTTTAATTATTTAACGTAAAAATAATTAAAAGCAGCTTGATTTTAGATCACACACACACTCACCCACACATACCATTGTGCGCTCGCTCTCTCTCTCTCTGTCTGTCTCTCTCTCTCTCACGCACACACACACGCGCACGTCAAGTTGCGTTATTGACGCTGCAGATTAGAAAGAAACACATCGATTTATTTGTCCCTTATTCATTATTTTTGTTCAATTCCAGCCAAATGACCCGTCACACAAGCTTTTCAAAAATCCTATCAAACTACATTCTCTGCATCACAGACAAACGGGATGTAGCCACACGGGATAATAATAATAATAATACAAAAAAACTACATACCCTGCCTCTGCTCCTGCCTCTGCTGCTGCTCCTGCTCCTGCTCCTGCTCCTGCCTCTGCTCCTGCCTCTGCTCCTGCTCCTGCTCCTGCTCCTGCCCCTGCTCCTGCTCCTGCTCCTGCTCCTGCCCCTGCTGCTGCTCCTGCTCCTGCTCCTGCTCCTTCTCCTGCTCCTGGGCTCCTCCGTGCATTGATTGACCCTCGACGTTTGCTTTCAGCTGCAGAATAAAACACACACAGCATCTCCTGCAGCCGCCGTGACTGTGGACCAAACAAATCCTGCTCACACTGAGTGGCACCGCAGCCACGGTGGATTCGGTTGTTTCCACCAACCACTGCACATAAAGCACGACATTAATAAAGAGATAATGGAATTAAATGTAACTCCAGAGATCAGACTCATAGAAGGGTAACGATCACCACACACGTCACGGTGCGGGGTCTTTAGGCTGCAGCTACCTGGGACATGTTGACCTATGGTGACAAATGATCAAGTCATCATAACAGCAAGGGTCAGTGTGATAACTCCACTCTCCTGCAGAGGAAATGTAACATGGATTTAATCTAAAGTAATTCAAAATCTGACACTAAATCATTTTTTTATTTAAAGGCACAGTGTGTGTTTTATTTTTTGATGCAAATTAGATTGAGTTTACAGCATTTTTATTTATTATCCAGATTTAGGTATATTTTAATTTACACTAGGAGTGGATTTCATTTAAAAAGGCTGCCATGTTGGATCACCATGTTTGTACATCAGTCCACAGACTACGTAACTTTGTGGTCTTGTTTGTATGTTTTTTTGTTGTTGTTTGTTTGATGAGTTTATATTCTCTTACATTGGGAAAATTGCTGAGTTGGAGGATATTTAATCAAACATGTAACTTTACTACTGTTCCCTCAGACTCTTCCATAGCCACAAGTGTAAATGTCATTTGGTGAACCAATATATTTTTACTTTTGCAAAAAATAACTAATAAAAAACACAACAAAAAGTAGAAGAATATTATTATAATTCCACATCCCTGGATTTCTGTTAGCCAAAATCAGATGGAATGATTTATTTTAAAATATAATTCTATGGAATATTTATTGCATAGTATCATATGTCACTATTATTTTTGTACAAAAATTCTGATTTGTGTTGCACTACTGGGTCACCATAAACAGGTCGTGCTGTGCAAAGTTTAAGAAACACGCCCGCAGGATCCTCTACTTCTTAACAATCAGACTGAAAGGCGAGAAAAAGTCTCTCTCTTTTTTTTTGTCGCCTGTTGCGTCCAGAGACTGTGCTGCGAGACAGAGTGAGAGGGTCGTTGTGAGTTCATATGGTGTGGACAGGTTGTTCTTATCGGGCGGCTGTAACTGTAAGCCGCATTGAACAGATGTCCCCATTGAAGGCTTTCTTCTCCTACGCACATGGGCTATATTACCATCATGAAATCAAACTCAAAACCTGTCCCTTTTGCCACCATAATGACCGAGTTATTCTGGGCCACTGAGCACGAACAAAGTGTGTTCAATATTGCGTGCTGCAAGAATCAGTCAGGGAACCAGGAGAAAGGAGTCAAGGCAGGAGATGCAGAAGAACTAAGATTTACAAAGCAGCTCAACAATGGTGTGGACCTGCTTATGGACCTGCCCGTCACCTACGTTGTTAATGTAGGCTAGATGATTTAAATATCAACGATAGAGATGGATAGATGGATGGATGGATGTTATCAGTTCACGTCTCTGCAGACATTGTTTGTAACTGTATGCACTTCATCAGGGCAGAGAGCAAGAGAGCAGGGTCTGTTTGGTTGTTGTTTCCTCCATTCACCAGGAGGTTGGAAGGAGCAGATGTCTGTCTGCACTGTGAGCTGCCAAGTGGGTCCGGAGCAGGGCAGCCACAGACACAAGGCCCCAAATGGTGTGACAAAAGATGTGCAGGAAGCCCCTCTCCGCCTGGGTGAGCCCCAGAGAGTGTGTGAGAGAGTGAGAGAGAGAGAGGGGGGAGGGAGGGGGGTGAGAGAGATTGTCTCCCCTTCTCTGCCAGTCCGTGGAGCTGTAATACTCTCAACACGAGGCAGGATGGTGGCAGCAGAGTCATGTGCTACACTGGCTGAGACTGTAAGACCGTGATGCACTAACATCTTGTATTCACATAAACATAAATACACATCCAGACGCAGGG